ACATTAGCTGATACCCGCTCGCTTCGTTGGGCGCACAATAATGGACGATAATAACGTAGACATAAAGTATCAAGAAACTATAAGTATACTAAATTTCAAGTCAATCGGGTGTATAGTTTTTAGAGTCATTGGTGGTTCGCTTATGTATATAGCTATGGTGGTATAATACTAGTTAGTATGTTTTCTTATCCGCTTTGGAGTCCAACTGGGTAAGCACTACCCTTATTTTTCAACGCATTTGTAACCAGTTCTGTTTAAAGCTGGCGACAGGTGTTCACGACCATCAGGTGGACTATGAGTTTGTTTCTCATTTTAGTTCTATAAAAAATATGAATGCATATTTGTATAGTACGTTTCTAGGGCAGGCGAAAAAAAGGACATTGACCTCTAGTATTATGTTAGATCGAAACAAAGACAGCAATTTTATTTTTTATATTACGTATTGTTATGCGCTAAGCGTGTCTCATGGTACGGGGTAGGGTCGCAGGTAGTTGAAGGAAGCGACCATTCAGAGATAATAAACCTGTGTCTCACGCCGTGCGTGATGAATTTTTATTAAGTTTGTTTTGTTAATTGTATTATTACGTTTTGTATTAAAGAATTTATTACTGTTTTGTGACGTTTTGTATATTATCACAATTATGAAATCGGACCCATCGACATTAAAATCTCATAAAAGACCTTTACGTCACCACGAAAGAAGCGGAAATTGTCGAATATTTCCTTTAATAATGATTGTTAACATCTATAAATATATAAAAGAAACGTGGTTTAGTAACGTATATCCATCCAAAACGGTTATGAAAAAGAAGACTGCCGATATTTTAGGTTATAATCGAAGTGTCGGACTCTTCTACATCTACATCATCATAAGATGATTCTGAAATATATACAGATGAATAGTCTGTCAAGTGTCTCTGACAATTTTTTATGAGAAGTTTTATGTATGTTTCAAGGTTGGCTGCTGAAGAATGCTTAGCATTAAAAGTTCGTCTTTTTACCTACCTACCTACTTATTAAAGTACCACTTACCTACTATTAATGTAATAATGAGAATTTTAATAACTCATGATTTATAAATAATAAACTTAAATTAATGTTAATTTGATTTTTAATTCATTTAGATACAGGATAATCTTCTTTCTTTATTATATAATAATAGACATAGGGCCTGTAAAGAACTTCGCGCTCGGCACCCTTGCCTTTAACTCTGATGATGTATGTAATGATAAAAGGATTAAAAAAATAAACCTTAACAAAAAAGATTGCCCACCCAGATGATATCGTCAAAGGTCAATGTCCTTTTCTCCGCCTGCCCTAGAAATGTACTATAGCACGAATGGGTCGGCTCGACCAGGACCATGCTCTCACGCAATACACTTTTCACTTTCTGTTCTATAATTTTTCCCCTTCCTCACTTGTTGCAGACACTCTTTGGAGGAGTCCTATGTTCAGCAGTGGACTTGTTAACAGGCTATAATGATGAAAATGATGATAATCATGATAATCAATTCTAGAGCTTACTGCGTAATTAAATCAGGAGATAATAATTATTTTTAAATATATAGATGCTTGACAAAATAGCTTTAGAAAACACTATTTAAATTTATTGGTATACAGTATTATCGGTTTGTAACACAGTGCTAACAATAAAGCATATTGACAATGTGAAATAGAGGCAAGAAGGGGCCTACACGCGCTATTACAGAATAAAATTTCATAAAAAGCATCGCAAACAAAAGCTGATGGAACAGGCCATTAGAGCTCATGCATAAATTGTTAGTTTAGCGACGAAAAACCTTCCGAGTGACGTAGCGTTTTTATAATGTGTATACTCCTTTTTATGCTCGATTTCAAAGATTCCAAATTGAGAATTAGATTAGAACAAATGCTGGAACAAATTATAATAGAACAAATATTCTTTTTTGTTTTATGGAAAGTGGTTAGAACCACTGCCTAGTAACAGCGTTCGGCTAGTAACCATTCAGGATTTAAATTTTAGGGAAACATATTGTAAATTTACGAATTGACGATTTTTGATTTTGTTGTGATGTTATGATCCCCGTATCTCGGAAGCTCTATCTTAGTCTACTTCGAATCTTGTTGTATAAATATTACATATAGGTATGAAAAATAGAGTGCCTTTGTATTAGCTCGTGACGTCACGCGTCTATGTATTGCAAGCGCTACGGGGTTAGTCAAGTTGAGTTTCTACAATCTTTAACGCAAAAAGAAAACAATAAAAGTCAATGGGAATCAAATATCTCAACGCTAAAGGTAGGGATTTCTTGGTACGTATGAATGCAACGCATAAACGCAACGTACAAACACAGAAGTAAAATTAATAAAATTTAAGTGTGCTAGGTTATTTCGTTTTGTTGCATATCATCAGTCAATATGCAACCTCTTCGTATCAACGCCCGAAATTCAGCAGAGAACAGGACGAGTTATTGATACAAAAGTGGAAAAATAGTATACAATTATTGAAAACACTTTTGCTAATATCTTGACTTTGATTTTGAGGATAGCTCTTATCTCATGGTTAGTTAATTTTAGCCGCCTCTTCGTCAACGCTCACGTATGATAATGTAAGTGGTAGATGGCCTGAACACGGTAATCTTCTATTGGGATTAAGCTGAAAGTTTCCCGTATGTATGTTTATTCCAGTTTTGATTTTGAAATGGCATTTGTAAACACAGTTCCTGTCTGTCTCCCACAAAATCAGAGTAGAACTGAACTATCGTTAGATACTTCTAGACTAACCAAGAAATACACGAAACTTATAAACAAAAATGTTAAACTTACGCAACGTAATTTATACATTCATACGCTCCAACTATCTCTTATTTTATTCATTGTTATAACTTTCTATCAGCGTTAACGTTTGTAGAAAGTCAAATTTGCTAACCACGAGCAGACCATCGTGAACACAGTCGATGGAAGTTGGAGGCGTGATCATTCATAGTCAAATTTCTTGAATGTGGCTTTTATACTTGTGGCTCTTTAATAGTCTTTGTAATTCTTGGCTTTGGATTATTTGAAAGTCGGTCGCTAAGATCTAAAATCGATCATGGAAGCATCAATATTATAACAGTTTTAGTATTTTCATACTCAAAATAAACATTTTTTAAAGAAAAATCCAAAAAGATGTTTAGAAAATAAGAATATCTCATACTGAATACGGACAATAAAAAAGTTTTTGTTCTTTTCTCTTTCTAGCATACTAGGTACAATAATATTACGAATATCAGTTAGGCATTACCTTACGTTGAATATTGCTGGGAAAGAGTTACATAAAGTTAATTTTAGTGTTATTAAAAAAAAACAACAAAAAACGTCTGGTAAAAATGCACGTTTAAGAACGCAAACTTGCTTATTGCCCTGTTCTGACTAAATTTTGCACATTTTTAGTAAGAGTACATTGAGGCACATACAAAAAGCAACACTGGCTGTGATATCAGACGATTATTAAAACAATACATAAATATAATAATAATATTTCACATAAACTAAATTATGTAGTGAAATTGAGAACCATATTTTTTGAAGTTAATTTAAATTATAAAATATTTATTTCTTTTTAAATAATTGCTATTACAGTTATTTTTAATAAAACATTTTTCATAAAGGTAGCGTAAATAAAAACAATAGTACATAAGATAAATGATATATATCAATGCCTAACAATTAAAGTTGATTTCTGTTTAAGTCATTCTGCTGAAAATTATTGACACGGTAAACAAATATTTGCGCAGTCGCCTGATGCCAGTGTTTTGATTTGACGTTCGTCAGAGTGTTTACTTCTCTGGAAATTTAATCACAAACTTTATTCAAGTCGTAACAAAAGCTGTGAAACGGAAAAATGTTGCGAAAAATATTACGCAAAGTTTTAAAAACGCAATAATTTAAATATATTTTTGTTAATAAATCGGGTTTTTTATAAACAAAAAGTAAATCTCTGGCGATTCAAAAAGCTTGTTTGTGGGTAGAAAAAAGATTATGAAGATTTAAAGAAACTAAAAATATTTCGGAGTCGGTCAGCTAAAACATAGCTTTAATGACAAAAATGCTTCCTGTTTTCGTGCAATGTATGTTAGTTAAACACCTCCAAAAAAAAGGTAATTTATGATTTTAGACCGGTACTCGGAGAATTTCGAGCTTAAACACAAACATAACAATTTAAAAATTGTTTAACATGGTCTAGACTCAAATTTCGACATTGTGAAGTTTGACTTTAAGCTCAAAATTGGCTCTGAATATCGTGTTTTAGTGTGGAAGGTAACATTTTTTTTGAGAAAAAAAACAAAAGAGTATATTTTAAATCTACATCTACATGGATGAAAAATTATTTCCTACCTTAAGTCTTTTGGGGAAAGCCAAAGAAGCGTTATAGATTTGTCTGATTGATGACTAAAATTTATATTATTTACTTTTCTTTATTAAATTACATGTTGAGAGAGATCCGGAAATTGAAATTAGTGAAGACATGATGCGTTTACTAATTAACGACCGCTTAACTCAGTAGTCGGAATACCTGTTTTCGCTTATACTGTATTGCAACTGCATATTTCCCCTCTCAAAACCTCGAAACCCTTTTTGTTGAGGTTAAAGTTTCGTGTTGCTTCGCGTCAGGTTTTGTTATAAGCCTTGTCCACATATTGGAACTGCGCACACCGAATAGAAAGATATGAGAAAGTGGAGATCGAGCCAAAACCTAAAACTTGTGTGTACTTTGTTATTAAAGATTTAATAAAAGAAATGTAATTAAGAGCCTTGATTTACAAAGCAAAAATGTAAAAAAAAGAATTAAAACATTTTATTTTAGCTTTATTATTGTTTACATCTCTATAACGTATATTTAATTGGCTTTAAACATTTTTTTACTTATATAAAATATCTTCTAAATGGTTACCTACTAGAAATTTTTCCTGTATCGTGACCATGTTAAACATCCCGCTTCTTAAGGTCTCCTGCTATTTTTGAGATACAATGCTGCTACAATGGTGCGTTGCGAACTTCACATAAGCTTGAAAGTTTCCTTGAAATGTTGTTTATAATAAAGCATGTAACTAAACAGCGTTTAAAATCTATCTAAACACATAAATACAATTGTAGTAGAGATCTAAATAACTGTCTTAGATTGAATAACCATTTTTAAACTTTTGGCTGACTGTATGCCGTTTTCTCTGACCGGGCTAATCTTCGCAACCGCTGAATTATTAAATCCTACCTATCCGATCTCAGGGTGGGTATCTAATTTACAATATAAGTGGTATCGTTACTAGGGGGCGTCGCACCTATTTTTTATTTAAAATGATCTGTCATCTCTGTGTCTCTATGTACTGTATCTCTATAGATGCTATGATCAATAAACTTTTCGTACAGTAATCGTTGTATTTGATAAAAACTTAAAATTCTTTCATAATATTGAAAGAACTGTTAAAAATACCACTTTGAAACCTTGGCTTATTAACCGGCATTTACGTGAGCAATTGCATAGCTGAAACCTTGACTCACTTAACTTTTATGAAATAACTTTAAGATTTTGAATCAAACCTAAAATACGGCTCATGAATTTTTATTAGTGTAATAGTAGAGTCTTGTAATTTGTCATTGTTTGTTTGACGTTTAGCCAATTATAAGTTTCTCTCGTCGTTTACTCGGCCTTGTCTCTACTGTTGAACCAAACTACGAAGGAAATTTAGGTATTTATTTCAGTATTCAATACTTCGTGTTATTTTTTGCGATCGTAACATCTTGATTTTTGTTCGTTTGCAGGATGAAGACGTTAAAAAGCAATTGCCGGTTGTGCCGAAGTGTTGTCCGAGTGGTCAGAACCTAACGATTAACTTCGAGAACGGTGTTGCCAAAACGGTGTGCACTCGGTCGAGCCTCACATTCCAGCCGATTTTTCACAAAGCGAATGAAACGCACATATGGAGCTACGACAGCAATGTATTCGAAACTATCGTTGGCAATCCATGCCTATATGAAAGGTTTGTGATAACATAAAAAGTGACATGAAACATTGATGAATGTGTGTTAACAACTCGTTTCGGTTAAAAATATTCATCAAGATTCCCTTCCTCTTCGTATTTGTCATCAGTCCATTATTACTAGCAATGTAACCAGTGACGTGCGCCTCAGCCACAGTTAGTATGCTTTTTAATCATGTACCTTTTTAACAGCTTATATAATATGATATAAATACGAGTCATCTCGTATTCGTCATCTATATCGCCATATAGCCGAAATCAAGGCCATCTGGATCTTTCCCTAAGTAAAGGATTTAGGCTTCACACGGTTAATCAAAATTGCTAAAAATAATTTTAAAGTCATATTAGATAAGTTATGCCTCATTGATTGCTTTCGAATATGTATAAACTCTGAATTAGCAAATCTAAATTTAGATTGATGTTGAAGGGAACGTCACTTTTACTAACTAAGCATCATTATTATTGGTGGTGATTAATTAAGGACTTAGGCTTCACGCGGTTAATCAAACTTACTAAAAATAATACAAAAGTCATATTAGATTAGTTATTCCTCATTGATTGTTTTCGAATTATAAACTCTGAATAAGCAAATCTAAATTAAGGTTGCTGTTGACGGGAATGCCATTTTTTAGAAAAAAATCATTATTGTTGGTGGTGATTAATTAAGGATTTAGGCTTCACGCGGTTAATTAAACTTGCTTAAAAATGCAAAAGTCATATTAGATTAGTTATGCCTCATTGATTGCTTTCGAATCATAAAATCTGAATAAGCAAGTCTAAATTCAGATTGATGTTGAAGGGAACGTCACTTTTAATAATTGAAACATCATTAAAAGAATTACAACCTAAAGTTGTTGAAAAGAGCTTTAGAAAAATTGTCTTCATTTCTTTAAGTAGCGACAAGTAGCAATCTTCCGTCACCCGTAACTCCAAATCATCCCTTATTTATTTTTAACAACATGCAAAGGGAGGAAAGCATCTGTCATTTTTTTTCTTGTATAATAAAAAGAAATATTATAATAGAAGCTTTACTTTGTTTGGTCTCGTTTCTATCACAATAGCAACAATGATTCTGAGTGAACTTTTGTTTGAAGGAAGTACTTAAAATATTATAAAGGTTTTAAAATTTATGTTGAATATGTTAATTGTAAAAATAAAATAACTTTATAAATAGAATTATGCATTACTTTGCGGTATATTTAAGATGAATAAGCTAGGATACGCGTGAAAATAAAAATGTCTAGTGATAGTTTGAAGAGCTTTTCGTCTCTTCCCTCATATGCGTGCACTATCACCGTCACCACCAATAACAACACTACTACCACTAAGACCATTACACTAGGAACTAAGTGTTGGCGATGATAGTGTACGTAATTGAAGGAGGTAGATGCTCTCTCTCCAAACTTGGTAAGACACATTTTTTACTTAGACTTTAGCTATTTTATTTTAATACCTCTAATAAAATAATTTATAATTAATTAATTAATTATGTATTTCTTACCATCATCCTCAGTTAAGAAAAAGCACATATGTTACGGCTAATGTTAGTGTGAATAATAAATTTAATGATAGCCAGATGCTAATGATATCTTTTATCACAATAAACTTAACTTTATATGTTCGCGCCTATAAGGCGGTTTAAGGGCCACCTCAGTAGCACCTTAACCTACTGGGGACCGGTGACACAGTTTCAGCTATAAATAAATTAAATACACCTAAGTTTAACCAAACAGTGTATAGTTTTAGTTTTTGTAAAACTAGGTGTCTCCGGTCTCCACTAGGTTAAAGTGCAGCTGAGCTGGTCCTTGGGCCACCCCATAACTACAGTGAATTTCGGTTATAACGACGGCGGAGGGACCACTTTAATGTCGTCGCTATATCCGAAGGTCTCTATATCCGAAAAAATAAAAAGTCATGTACATATTTACTTATCATTTATTTAATTATGTTATACACGGGTGTAATTGCAAACACGTGTTATAGTGCACTGTTTAAGTTTAGTTTTTTGTGCACGCTGTAAGGTGTATTCCATTTTGATAATTCCTTCAACATCTAAATTATTTTGACCTTCACCAAATAAACAGTACTTTTTGAGCGTTGTTATAGCACATAATGCATCTCTAGTTGTTGGAATCTCATTTAGATTGCAATCTTCTTCCTCTTCTTCATCCTCCTTTTCTTGTGTTTGAAGAAAAAACAAAGAAGAAAGCTTAATAGTTTTATGAATGAGTCTTTGTGCCTTTACCGACTCAGTCGCAATATCAGCAAGAGATTTCTAGGAATCCGTCACAAATGGTTCATATAAAAAGTCGCCATACCCGAAATTGACGCTATAACCGAAGTCGCTATTACCGAATGAATTTCTTACGAAAGTATGTTTTAAATTCAAGGGACGTAAGTTTGACGTCGCTATAACCAAAAAGTCGTTACAAACGAGGTCGTTATTAATGAAACCTACCCTACGTATATTTTTATATCACAAATTAGAAAAATTTTATTTATAGAATGAGTGTAACAAACAAGCACACAGTCACAGATTAGTAAATAGTTTACCAACACAGTCCACCTGATGGTAAATGGTTGTTGTAGCCCATAGACATCTATCCTCGATTACGAATCAAATTGCAGATGCGTTGTCACCCGTGAGGACTAAGATGGAATGCCTCCTTTCCAGTAAGAAGGGTATCCGGTTCTCTACACTCACCATACGAAACACAGCAGCGTTAAGCTGCTATTTTACGCTGGTATTCTGTAAGAGCGTGGTCCTTCCCGGGTTGAGCCGACCCATTTGTGCTACAACTATACCACTAATTTCATCAATGTTATAAATTTTGGTATACCATCTCGTGTATGTTAGATCTAAGCATACCCAAAGCCACGCGAAGCAGCGTCAGAAATGCGAGACATTAATGTAATTGTCGATTCACCTACCAAGTGTGACTATTAAGGGAAATTCTTACCAGAACAGGATTCAACAATGGACTGTTTAGGGATGACAAAGAAGGAGAGAAAATATGTTTTTAAATAATGATATACACTTAAATATCTCTCAAAGTATTTTATATCTTTTAGATATAAATTGGATCCCGAGAAAATGAGCGAAGATGAATTCTACTTATTGGTGAACGGTTCACTCTTTGTGCCGTTCAGTGAACCGCATTTACTCGGAACAAGAGATTATTGCATGGAGACGTTTTGGAACGAAACGAACCCAGCGGGTGTAACTCTTCCATTAGTTTGCTTTCGAACCCCATTAGAGGAAGCGACGACATCAGTTACACTCATAATTTATGCTACAGGTAATTTATTATTATGTATCTTCCACATATTATGTAGATGTGAATCCAATAACCCCTCTCCGAATGAATGCGGGTGGAGTCCAACTGACTATAAGTTAGGGTTCTGAATAGCTTTTGCAGTTCCGAGTATGTGTTTTAGTTAGCTTATTTCCACAACTTTATCGATTTTACTTTGTTTTCACAGACTTTTATCTGTAAGAAAACAACTCTTAGAAAACAAAGTAAAGAGGATACGTTATGGAAATAAAAATTCGTTCTCGATTTCGCGTTTGGAATCAAAAAGATTCGAACTTATTCTCTCTTTGTTATAACGAAATCTCACTGGTGCTGACGCCTTATTTCTTATTTTAACCCTACTTACCATCAGGTAGGAAAGTAGTCAACTACTGACTAATTAGAATCAAAACCAATATAATAATTACACAAAGCAATATTTTTTAATATCTCCATATGTTCTCTGGTATATTTTAAATCAAAAATTGAACGTTAAAAATATCTAATGGTTAAAATTAGCTTATCATTAATATCTAGATTTTGATTCGGACATTTTCAATATGATGGTAGTTAATTACTAGCTATGTAATTTTTATTTTTCCTTATCTCGGCTAAAGTTATTCTCTATAAATGTATATTTTAAATTGTTATTATATTAGCTCATAGTGAACTGGTGGTCAGGGTACGTTCAGTTCTGTATAAACTTAAATATACCACCTTAGACAGAAACCTAGATTTATATTACCACAAAATAACTTTTATATTAAATAACATTAAACGTATACTTTTTATTTCAGGATTAATAATTTCAGTACCATTTCTCTTAGCGACTGCGTGTGTTTACACGTTTATAACAGAGTTAAGGGATACGCACGGTAAAGCACTGGCTTGCCATTCTATTTGTTTGGCTGTAGCATTTTCTTGCTTGGCCGCCACACAGCTGGCTGGACACGCTTTTCCTTCAACTATTTGTAATATTATGGGTACGTTAACTAACGAACTTAAGTTCAATTAAAAAAAAAACACTTCGATATTAATTTCTGATGTTTGTTTCAGCATATTCCATTCAACTGTCATTTGTATCGTGTTTCTTTTGGTTGAACGTAATGTGTTTCGATACTTTTTTGAACGTGAGGTAAGAATAAATATTAAAATCAAATTAGAAATAACTAAAAATACTTTTTTAATAGAAATTTTGATTAAATATAGATTAAAGTTGGTAAGAATTACCTTGCACATATACGTTCAATAAAATAAAATAACGTGTATTACCTAGTTTGAAGAGAACTTCCTGTCTTTATTTATCTTAGCGGTCAGCCACCGTGGGTCTGCCTAAATCACCTGAAGATGCCTCGTTTAGAGGCGCAACATGTGTCGTATTATCGTCGATGGTGTGTCTTTCCTAGAATAGTGGTGTTGGGAGTAGTGGTGCTAGAATTAGTGGTGATGGTGCATGCAATTGAGGGAGAACGGGAGGTGCTCTTCAAACTAGGTAAGACACATCATTTTATTTTATAGAGCGGATATGTGCCAGGTAATTCTTACCAACTTTAGAATTATGGATTTCCGCAAAGTAACGCCTGATTATATTATTTATTTAAATATAGATTATAAATAAAACTTTTTTGCAAGTTTATATCACTTTGTTTCTGTTACAGGCGATACATCAATGCATCGGTTAGTAGAAGAAGTATGAGGCGAAGGTTCGCGTGGTATTCTGCCTACGCGATACTCTTACCTATCGTTCTATTAGTCGTTACAGTTACTATGGATTTATCTCCTGCAGTGCCTAGCACTTACCTGAAGCCAAACTTTGGTGTAAAAGGCTGCTGGTTTAAAAGTAAGTCTTAATATACCTATAATATTTCCAGAAATCACTTTTATTCTGTAGTGTTAATAAAACATTTCTCATTATTTTTTAAATTTCATGTTTTTTTTTACAGCTGACCAAGCGGCTTTGCCATATTTTTACGGGCCGGTCGCCGTTATCCTTCTTAGTAACCTCGTGATATTTTTCTTTACTTCACGCGCCTTTGCAGTACATTATGATAAGCTAAAAGACCTAACACGTAAGTTATTTTCTTTTGTGTACCTGTTTCAAGTTGTCGAGAATTTTTCTGGATATGTTTTGCAATTAAATTTAAAAATTAAAAATAATATTTTGTCGTAAAATCTATTAGTACAGAAATTAACTTCAAATTTAGAAATAATTAAAATGCGATTTATTAAAGACTATAAAATTTGATTGACTTGTTGTTATCGTTTTATTTTGTTTTGAAAAAATAAGTTATAAAATAAATTAAGTAACAGATTGGTGTAAATACAGGAAATAAAATTTCACTCGTAGATTTCGACTGATTACGTTGAATATCAAAACATATCCCATCTTATTTTTTATTTGAAAGAATTTCAAATTCTTCTTCAATTTAGCATATTAGTAAAGCATTAAAACAAAGATTTAATATGAGATCGTAATTTCATAATTGTTTTATCAAGTTGTACTTGTTTGTAAAGTAAACATCGAATATCCAAACAATGACATTATTAAAGCAACAAGTTGAGATTTATTTCTTTTCTAGAAATGAAACAAAATTTGTCTGTCGTCTTCGTTAAAGTTATTTTTATCTTCTTATCAATATATTTTCAGACGTTATAGAATAGGTACGTATTATTATAAAAAATATATTGCGAAAATTGAATATGTTTTATCTTTTTATTACTTTATAAATATTATGTCTATTAACAACGTATTTTTAATATACTGAAAAAATACAAAGACATTGAAAATTGTCTTGTTTTTTTTGTAACCGCTTTTGTCCTTTTATTACTGCCTAATGTTTACTGACAGAGAATGCTTTTAGCATTAAGCATTATCTGGGCTACAAGATTTTGAAGAACAGGCTTTTAACGATCTTTTGCTGTCGCGCTGTGCACGAACGAACTTGCTAAAAACCGAGAGAGACAGCTGCGTCTCGTACTGATTATACCTATGAAAAAAATTAGGAAACATCGCCGTATTGTTATGTTTCTTCTAACAAAACCGGACCGACATTATGTTTTTAAAGACTGGATGTTAACAATGGCAGGTTTTAAAAAGATAACCTACAATAATGATTTATGAAAAAATATAAAAACAGAAGAGTGGATAGATTATATAGTAAAAACAATATTTGCTCTGATGTCCAGGAAGAAAACGGAAAACTACGTTTGTATAGACTGAACGCAGTCTGGATATCCCATAGAATACTATAATACATACATAATAGAACGGGGAGTGGGCGGAGCCCGTGTGGCCCCTAAAATATCACTATAGTCAACCAAATCTAAGAAATACCTTCTGACGTTTCACATTAATCATTCCGCAATAACTTTGCACAAGCCTACTCACACGATTTAAAATAACCTTTTACGGAAATCCGAAGATTTATGAAGTTATCTATATTTAATTACAACGTGTATAGTTTTTTATCACTAATTTAAGTTTGAATCTTTCAAACAAAGCAATATATTAAAAAAAAACAGTATTAACTTTTTTACTTGACGTCGTTTCAATGATATGTCGCTATGTACCTTACCCGTAGTGTTTGAATGATGAAAATTCATTGTTATGCCTCGTCTGCAAAATCGGCAAAAATATTCAAATAATCGAATCATTAGTTTTTTAATGTATTATTTGTTTAATTAAATTTTTATTTTTAAAATCCCTTAATTACATGAATCATGAATAAAATGAGTTTTTTTTAACTTTGTCAACGTAAATTTGTGTAGGCAAAAAAAAACTCTTATACAAGGCCGCGCTGAAAAAAACCACTACGTAATTTCAATCTCCCGCCATTTCGGGAGCTTACAGTGCGTAATTTTGTGTTCGGTTTCCTATTTTGTGATTCGGATTTAACTTTTTGGACTGTATCTTCTATGTTCGTAGAAGGATGTGTCCATGTTACAGTGAATGATTGGGCAAAGGTGGTAGATAAAAACAAAAAAAGTTGATTATGGATGACTTTGAAAGGGATATTAATTTCGACATTATAGAAATCATCATCATCATCATTACAGCCCTTCACAAGTCCACTGCTGAACATAAGCCTCCCCCAAGTAACGCCACAAAGCACGGTCCTGAGCCACCTGCATCCATCGACTTCCTGCATGTCCTACCAGGTCGTCACTCCATTTAGTGGGGGGTCGCCCTACACTACGCCTACCGGTACGAGGCTGCCACTCGATAACCTTTCTTCCCCATCGGTTATCGGTTCTTCGAGCTATATGGCCGGCCCATTGCCACTTCAGCTTACTAATCCGTTGGGCTATGTCGGTCACTCTGGTTTTATTGCGGATATCCTCATTTCTGAGTCTATCACGCAGAGAAACTCCGAGCGTAGCCCTCTCCATAGCTCGCTGAGCGGCCTTGAGCGTCCTCATACGGCCAGCAGTGAAGGACAACGTCTCTGATCCGTAAGTCATCACTGGAAACACACACCATTAAGGAGATGGGCAGCAGCATCTTCCTAATAATAACAATAACATAATAAAAAACTGCGGCTGCCAACCCGCTCGCCAAGCGTGGCAACTATGGCAAACATCCCCCATGAGCAACGACACAAATAAACGGCCCCCAGTCCCCGGCGGCGCCGCTATTCCTGGCTACGGTGGCGACCATAGTAACGGCGGGGCAGGGGGTGCTAAGAATCTCCGGTGGAGGTTCGGTTGCCACCTACGACGACATTATAGAAAATCAAATTATAATTACATACAATATATAATAATACAAGAAAATCAAATTATGAAACAATGACAACTCAACCAGTTGTTTTTTTGATAGGAAAGGGGGCAAACGAGCATACGGCTCACCTGATGGTAAGTGATTACCGCCGCGCATGAACAACTGCAACATCAGGAGAATTGCAAATGCGTTGCCGGCCTTTTAAAAAGGAATAGGCTCTTTTCTTGAAGGTCCCTAAGTCGTATAGGTCCGGAAGTATTTCTGGTGGTGGTTGATTCCACAAGGAAGTTGTGCGGGAAAGAAAACTTAAAATTTTTACCACAAGGAAGTTGTACTGAAAGTGATTGAATAAATTTATTTTTAATCCAGTTTCAATCTTAAATTTTTATAACTTTGGCTCTAGAAATAAGCAGTAACAACCAATACGAAGAAACTGATAAAGCTTGTGTTTTAAATCATCCGTTATTTATTATTCTTATTCAATTATTATTATTATTCTTATTCGTATTATTCAAACCAAACTGCAAATGATTACAAACTCTAAATAATCGATATCGATCTTTTTAGAAATCGAATATTGTAAGTTTCCATTTTTTGGTTGGCATGCTTGGTGCAGTAAGTCTGACAGCTGTCAAAATGTATTTCTTAGATTTGGTTGACTATAACACGGTCAATTCACACGTATAAACAACAACATGAAATGTGTTATGACGTTACAATCGTTTCCAAATTTCCCATGCAAATTATTTAGTAAATGCCAAATTGCACGCTATTTACAAATAAATATGTATAAAAATTTGTCTGTCCACACAGCGAATCGGGTTTGTAGTAGTGATAATACGACGTTATCGCTTGTATGTTTGATCCCGGCGACGCCTATCGTCGTATAAAATAAGGTAGACAGCCATTCTAGTGTGTATTATAGTATTCTATAGGATATCCTCTGAAGACCGTCTTTTATTCCTAAAAATTATGTCTATATATAAAAATCAATCGCTGTCCGTTAGTCTTGCTAAAACTCAAATACGGCTCGACTGATTTCGATGAATTATTTTGTATGTATTTGAATGGTTTATATTCAATCCTGGACTCGGTAGGTGGCACTGTTGTCGACATCCAGAAATCAAACGTGCGAAGCCAGAGCAGATCGTTAGTCTAAAATAAATGTTTATCGATTCATTAAGATTAAAGTTTACGTCGTGTATTGGCGGTGTAAGGTAATCCACCTTTTTACGTTTTTAACGTGGTAGAGCCATGCTGCAGTTATATTAGTAGTATAGTTGTAGCACGAATGTGTCGGCTCGACCGGGGAAGGACCACGCTCTCACAGAATACCAGCGTCAAATAGTAGCTTAATGCTGCTGTATTTCGTATGGTGAGTGTAGAGAACCGGAGACCCTTTTTACTGGAAATGAGGCATTCCATCTCAGTCCTCACGGGTGACAACGTATCTGCATTTTGATTTGTAATGGAAGATAGATGTAGATGTCTATGGGCCGCAGCAACCACTTACCATCAGGTGGACTGTGTGCTCGTTTGTCACCCTATTCTATAAAAAAAAAAAAAAAAAACGTGTTAGAGCCATGCTGCAACTATATTAGTAGTTTGTAGCACGAATGGGTCGACTCAACCGGGATCACGCTCTAACAGAATACCAGCATAGAAATAGCAGCTTAACGCTGCTGTGTTTCGTATGGTTAATGTAGAAAACCAAAGACACTTTTTAATGGAAATGAGGCATTCCATCTTAGTCCTCACGGGTGACAACGCATCTGCATTTTGATTCGTAATCGAAGATACATGTATTTGGGCCACAGCAACCACTTACCATCAGGTGGACTTAGTGCTCGTTTGTCACCCTACTCCTATAATAAAAACTTCATATAATCGCGTGGGCGTCGTATGAGGCGACAGAGGGAAACTGACTGGTAACAACTGAAAATAGTAAATAATTGCGTTTGCCAACTTGCCTGCTTTGAATTACAGCTATGACGAAATCCCCTACGTCACGTTGAACTTTGATCTTCTGATTGTATATGTATCGTATGTTGTGTATTCAATGGATGAATTCGATTTATAGTCTTCTATACGCATAGCAGTCATTTATTTTGGTATGTAACTTATAAGGTGATTTAATTTCGATTCGATGAAATCTTATAGTATATTTCTTTGAATGTAGCATTAGACATGGCGCATTCAGACAATAGCACGTCGGATGACTGGGTGCGACTCAGTACGGTGCTGGGTCAGCCAGTACTTCCGCAAGAGCGCGCTGCCTCGCCACCGAGGGAAATTGTTGCCAATTTTAACCAAAGGCTCAAAAAATATAAAAAAATGTAAGTTGTGATTACCGATTTCTCTTAATTTTAAAAGTGTTCTTGAATAGGAACGACAAACCTGTGGTACATATACTTTTCTACCTTTTTAATATTTTAAACGATTTTTTAATTAATTTTTTTTGTATACTTGTTAAAGTTTCCGAACATGTTGCATCCTGTCAGTCATCATGGGACTGTCGTGGGTGCTGGAGGTGGTATCGTGGGCAGCAGGTACCGGCTCGGCCGTCGTCTCTGTGTGGTCCCTATTTGACCTCATCAACGCTTTACAAGGAGTCGTCATTTTTACTATTTATGTTCTTCAACAGCCCGTCCGTTCTTATATTAAGGTGAGTTGTTGTAGAAATTTTATTTTTAAATTTACCGTTACTACGTTAATATTTAGTTGTTTGCAAATACTAAGCTTCGGTTATTTTTTATCAGGGAATACTGATAGGTATTTCAAACTTATATTCATAGGTGGTAGGTCTTTTTTTGTTAGATTACTCTTTTTTTTGGAATTTGGGCAGACTAACCTCTTAAAAAAATAAAAATAAATATTTCGAAGACATGTGAAGTTCGCCATCACGCATTGGAGCTGCGCGGTGGACACTTCTTTGCCCTTAAACCCTCTCAGAAATGAGGGGAGGCCTGTGCCCAGTAGTGGGACGTGTATAGGCTGTAACTTTACAACACTATTACCTATTTTTTATAGCATTGGGTGACAACCGAACACACAGTCCACCTGATGGTAAGTGAATGCTGTCGCCCATAGACATCCACATTTATTCTCAATTAAGAATCAAAATGCAAATGCGTTTTCACCTCTGGGGAGTAAGATGGAATGCCTCGATTCCAGTAAAAAGGGTCTCCGGATCTCTACACTCACCATACGAAACACAGCAGCATTACGCTGCTATTTTACGCTGGTATTCTGTGAGAACGTTGTCGTGACCCCGGTCGAGCCGACCCATTCGTAATACAACTATAATATAGCTGCAGCGTGGCTATACCATGTAAAAAGTATTTCTTCAGCCAAATAGCAATGCCTACACTGCTGTGTCTGAAGGGTATAGGGAGCTGGTTTATTTACGGGTCACAACACATTTTCATTTTGATTCTTAGTCGAAGATAAATGTGGATGTTTATGGGCCACAGCATCCACTTACCATCAGGTGGATTGTATGCTCGTTTGTCACCCAATGCTATCAAAAATAGGTAAAGGGGTAGTATCAAATGATTTGTTATCTTCTTTGTTTGATGTTGGCTACAGGTGAGGCTGGCTGGTGTCTATGCAGCCAAATTCCCATATGTCTTCAAAACTTATTAATATTTTTAACAATACTTGTATATGCAGATTTATCATTTTACTGCCTTTAGATTTTTACTTTAGTTATTTGCCACCCCATATCATTCTACGGCGTCACGTAAATGTTGGTTACGGAAAATGCCATAAAGTTGTAATGGTATTTGTAACCATTCAACCATTTCGTATGTTAGATGTAGAACAACCGGATTAGTTTCGGGATGAAACGTTTAATGGTCAGGAAGCTGGAAGAACCACTGCCATGTTCCAAGTGTGGCGTAAGTAAAATCTTTTCAACGGCAGAAGAGGACAACGTAATGTAAGCTATATTTTACTGGTTGGCTATGTAAAAAATATTACATTCATTACATTGCATACATTGCCTCACATTTATCCGTAGTAGCCACATATGACATTTTACAAGCAGGCTGGCAATGGCATTTTTAAATATTTTTATACGTGGTAAAGCCACGCTGTAGCTATATTATTGTTGTAGTACGAATGGGTCGACTCGACCGGGAAATGACTACGCTCACACAGAATACCAGCGTTAAATAGCAGCTTAATGCTGTGTTTCGTATGGTGAGTGTAGAGAACTGGAGACCCGTTTTACTGGAATCGAGGCATTCCATCTTAGTCCTGAGTGGTGACAACGCATCTGTATTTTGATTCTTAATCGAGGTTAAATGCAGGTGTCTATGGGCCACAGCATCCACTTACTATCAGGTGGACTGTGTGCTCGTTTATCACACTTATACTATAAAAAATATTGTTTCATTTCTGTGGCCTCTTACGACATCCAACATAATGATATGGGATGGTTGATTCTCCCGTTTAAACGATGTTATGCATATAATGTTAAAAGATTTATATTTTTTTTTAAATTAGTTGTCAAAACTCTGCAAGTCGTGCAGAAGAAAAAGAAACGGCTCCGAAGTAGCGGTAGTGAGTGAACGAAACAGCATAGACTGTGGTCCCGGACGTAGAGACTACGTCTAATGTGTGTCGGTATGTTGTGTCGCCAGCGGTGTCCCGTGTCACTAGAGACTGATAGTGGTAACAGTATTACATACACAGTGCGCAGTTTCGCTGTTTCGGATGTGTGAAATGAACATGAAACTATAGCAAGTGTTATAAATTATGTAATAGTGTATTTATTTTTATATATTTTTAATTATGTTTTCATTATAAGAAGTTGAATCTGAGGTTGTTATGTTTTATTTTGAAAAATCAACTATTAAGTTAACTTTTTTGTGCGTAATTAAAGTGAATTATTAATTTAATTAACTGTTATTGAATTATTTTAACGTTAAATTATTTTTTTATTGTATAATCACTTAGAGATGATTACGAGTTTGGATATTTATATGATATTCCCTTCCGGCCGGTATATAAATGAATATTTATTAATGAGTACAATTGCTGCAAAAACCTCTAGATTGTAATCGCGGATTATGTAACTGGACCTTTAAGCATAAAACTTTTTTTATAAAAAAATATACGTAACATGTTGTTTTGAAATAAGCTAAATTAGGTTACACGACAATCTAATCTTTAGGTACCTATCTGATTTTGATTGTGTGTAAGTATAGTCACTAACAGTAGCACTTCATGATATAAATTTAAAATCAGGTATTATATTCCTTAGCAATGATATTCCTGTGATAGCGCTTTATAAATATATCAGTTATTATTTACATTGCAGATATACTTTAATAACTAGTTCCTTGCAAATAATTTAACGAGTTATTAAGGATTTATTTTTATCAATGCCTAAACATTATACCTATTGACTATACTACAGTAATTAATTAATTTGAAATATAACATGTTATAGATTATTTCCCACTTTAAGGGCTCTAATTCTATATTTAAAATGTAATTTGATAATATTGGCTGGATTTATAATGATTAAATACAAGTATAGACAATACTTGTTTTTAATAATTATTCATAATAATCAAATTTAAGCATTTTAATACAAAACAAAATACTTAGTATATTTCCAGAACATTTACTAGGTACTTTACCTGATATATAGCTAGTTAATTTATTGAATAATATCTACAGTAGATACTTGATATACTACTAAAAATGATAAGTTTTTACACATTAAGTGGTAATGTATAGATTCATATAACAGAGTAAGATACATAGAAATTACGTTTCTTTCGTGAAAAAGGTGTATTTGCAAATAAAACATAATAACGAATAAATCGGTTCTATTTTAACTAAAGACGTGTTACTGGGATGCGTAGTATAAGTTTCGCGCGTCATAAATTCGTGCGAGAAAAACAAACAAATTAATCAAAAAATAAGTATGTCAAAAAGAAAACCAATTCATTAGCTAACAAGTAGTATACTAACGTCGATTAATTTATTAGGCTGTTTTTTATTTTGAGTGACGGAGAAAATGTTGCTAAAGATAAGGATTTTGTTTGCAAGCATAAACATATGATTAAGTTTTAAAAATAAAAACAATATTTTTAGTATTTGAATTTAAAAATACAACAACAATGCTATTTTTTGTTAAAGTATTATAATTTACGATAAATGTTACACAATAAATTCTAAAGTGTACATTCAAGCAGCTTGTTATGTCTATGGTTGTTAATATTTAGAGTAAGAAAGCATATTTTTATAATGTAATGTGACGACCAAGATGTTAACGGTTCTAGAGTAAACCTGTGGATATGATTTAAGAATAAATAAATTTATAATTTTATATACGACAACCTGTAGTGCCATACGTAAGTGATAGATAAGTGTATACAGATATCCCAGGAACCCATTGATTTATATACCAAACAAGGTCTGTAGTCTAAGGACACCAATACCTATCGAATGGACGCCCATGTGTGTTCCGCGATTTTTCGTAGTTTTCGAGATATAATATTTTTGTTTTATTTTTTTTTTAATTTTGGACGGTTTTACCTATAACGTTTTCTGTGAAGTAATTCTTAGACATTTTTCGTTGATATTATGACTAGCATGTATGTTAAGCTAAATCTGAGCTAATACTTACGAATGAGAAAATAATACGAATTTTAGAGTTTAGTATTTTTACAGACGAACACACATGCTAGCCATAATACTGACAAGAAAAATCTCTAAGAATCACTTCACAGAAAAAGTTATAGCCAAAGCCTTCCGAAATTAAAAAAAAAATGAAAATAAAACGAAAAATTAATATCTCGAAAACTGTAAAAAATCGCGGAACATACATGGGGGTCCAATCGATATGTATTGGTGTCCCCAGTCCACAGACCTCGCGGTACAGGTTTCCAGGTATACATCATGTATAGAAAGAAATATGTGTTGTGTATTATTTCCTTTGTGAATGCTAGTCATAATTATTTAAATAATAAATATTTAGAAGATCAGTTATTAATTTATTTTCTTTAAATTATGTTATTTGTTTTATTTTAAACATACATAACCACATATATACATATATTATAGTACATAAGTTAACTTAAAAAATGTTCTTCTATTTATTTTGATCAACATTTGAGTACCTAACTGTTTATGCATCGCAAATTGTTACACAAGACTGCTCGTAAATGAAATTGTACGTAATTTTATGGTGTAATGAATATCCTCCCTTATTCACAAGGGTGTATCTACTAGTCGCTGCACACTTTTATGAAACAATTGTTCAAAACATGCGCGGATTTCGTAACTATCTTATGGAATAGCGTTTTCAAAAATGTTTGTTGGTTATTTATTGCGAGTTAGTTTTTTATATTTATATGTATATTTCATTTAACATGTCTTCAGTTGTCAACAATTGGTGAAGTAATCGTTATTATATTGGGTGAAAATCAAATATAAATGTTTGGCGAAAAATTTACATAAGACAATAATTAGATTCGTAAATTTTATCAAATTAAATAATTTAAGTTTATACATTTTCCTCATTTTCCTCAGTTTTAAGTCGGTTTAAAGCAAACTCTAATAAGATGCTCATTTTAACGAGATGAGTTTTATGTATAATTATAATTATTTATAAACAAATAAGTTAATGCAGTGCGTGTGTACCTCCTTAAATGTTACATAATTATTGTTAAATGTTAAAGCGGAATTTTTAAGTGAAAAATGATAATGTATATTTGTCTATTTTGCAAACATGACGTTAAATAAAGAAGCTTTATATATATAATCAAAGTTTTATTTATAAAAGCCTGTAGTGGAGAAGTCCAGTTCTCAATTTGCTTATTGCAGTGTATTACAGATGTAATAATATCTTCCAGACCGAGTTTCGGTCATGGCGGCCAGCCTCAACGGAGACTAGCCATCGACGCAGGACAGAATTATAGTGCCCAAGTGTATGCGCAAGCACAAGTGCACTCTCTATTTCCTCACTCTTATAATGCGATGGGACGGTAAACCGACACAACCGGAGAGAGATCAGGCGCAGGACCAATGGCTTTACGTGCTTTCTGAGGCATGGCAGTCAGACAGCGCTCACTTCCTGACTCCGGGCAGCTGCTGAGAATTTCTCGACGGAAAACTCAATAATTGATTTTTTGACCAGACCCGGGATTCCAGGACAGACAGGGAACCCAGGACCTCGTGATCAGTAGTCGCACTACTACATCCACTAGACCAACGAAACTGCCTGGTACAGATATACAATGTACATTGTGATTGCGGTGGAGTAAAATTTTGTAATTCCTTTATAATTTCTTTTCTGCAAATCTTAAAAATAAAAATTTATAAATGGATGGAACATACGCTGTAGACAGTTACTAGCCACATAATTGTCCAAGTAAAAACAAGCAATGGTACGTATGTGGAATATTTATTTATATATGTATAGTGACAGCTCATATATTTCCAATTCATAAGTTTCCAATTTCTCAGTTCCTCTCACAAACTTTCCCTTCGATCCCTAGAAAACCTTTCCCTTTTATGTCCCTTGCACTCTTCTACATTTTTCAGTAAATCTTTTTCAGTTCTTGGAATGAAGCTTTGGAATTCCTTACCATCAACTATAAAACGTGCTCAAACAATAGACTCATTTAAAAACCAAGTTAAAAAACATTATCTTTCCTTCTAAATCATCCCTCCTCCTTTTATCTATTCCTGTCGTTTTATGATCACTAGTCTGTCAATTAAGTAAATTCCGGCATGTTTATTAATTTACTTTTATATTTATAGATTATAACATTATTTATAGTGCACTCTACCCATTACTTAACTTTTCACTTATTTTTATTTCCTATTTAGGTTGTCTGGAAGAAATTGCTGCATAGCAACAAGACCGCCTTTTGTTTTTCTCTTTGTTTGTTTCTTGTTATGTTGTTTTTTTTAGTGTTCATTAAAGGGTATTGTATTGTATTGTATTGTATATTTAGTATATTGTGTAGATTGAATAAAACTATGTATACAGAGTTTCGGGTGCTTTACAGCACCCACCCCCGTGGGGAGGGGACCAAAACGTCGGGAATTAAAAATAAGTTAAAATAATTTATTTAAACGCTATAATATAGTATAGTATAGTAATGCTGAGTATATGTTTACCTTTTTAATAAGTTTTATTAAAAAAAAATATCATGTAAATCTGCTAATCTATAATGAAGTATCGGAACGGATTATTCTTCTACTCTTTCGTGAGGGAATAGCTAAACAGTCAGGACTAAGCGCGGATCTAAGCGCTTATCTGAAAATTTCTATAGCACCCGATCAACGTTGATAAGTTAGACTGATTTTCTCCATAGAGTGTAGAAATATTAGAACTTTGTGTAATTTACTGTTAGGAAACCCGCATGTTTAATCATTTGAAAAAAAAAAACGTTATTCGAAGCCTTTGAATAATTTGAATATTTGCACTGGAAATGTGCACGCTTTCTTTTTTCCTTTTTTATAGAATGGGGTGACAAACGAGTTAACTGATGATAAATGTGTACCGTGATAGGCCCTCTACATTTATATATAGGTAGGACATCTACATTTATCTTTGGTTAAGGATCAAAATTCAGATGATTTGTCCCACG